ACGAGAGTCAGGGTCAGGCGGGGTGGCTCAAGCTTGTAATCTCAGCACTTTGGGAGGCAGAGGCAGGTGGATCACCTGAGGCCAGGAGTTCGAGACCAGACGGGGCAACACGGTGAAAACCCATCTCTACTAAAAATACAAAAATTAGCTGGGGATGGTGTTGCGTGCCTGTAATCCCAGCTACTTGGGAGGCTGAGGCAGGAGAATCGCTTGAACCTGGGAGGTGGAGGTTGCAGTGAGCTGAGATCGCACCACTGCACTCCAGCCTGGGTGACAAGAGCAAAACTCCATCTCAAAAAAAAAAAAAAAAAAAAAAAAACGAGGGTCAGGACTAGATCTTGAATCCTGCCTATTGAAAGGGGTCTGTGTGGCAGCCGTGGGAACAGAATCCTGGCTTCATGTCTCAAACTCATCTTGTTCCTTGGAGGTGGGGGTCGGTCTTTGGAGTGTGTCTCTCTATCTTCAGCTATCAACGTGGAGTAGGCCGTCAGTGCTGGATGGATAAACCAATAGTGGCATATACATACAGTGGAATAGTATTCGGCCATGAAGAGGAACGAAGGTCTGACACATGGCACAGTGTGCATGGACCTTGAAGACATGATGCTGGAGCAGGAAGCCAGTCACAGAAGACCACACCTGGCATGGTTCCATTTCTATGAAATGTCCAGAATAGGCTAATTCATGGAGACAGAAAGCAGATGGGTGGCTGCCAGGGGCTGGCGGGAGAGGGAGGAGGAGAAACTGCTTAGCTGGGACAGGGTTTTCTTCTGGAGTGCTGAGAACAAGTTTTGGAACTAGATAGAGGTGGTGGTGGCTGCAGAAGATCGTGATTGTACTAAATGCCACTAAATTGTTTCCTTTAAGGTGCTCGATTTCATGTTTTGTAAATGTCAACGCAGAAAAATGGAGCAGGGGGCTGGGGTGCAGTGGCTCATGCCTATAATCCCAACACTTTGGGAGGCCGAGGTGGGAGAATCATTGGAGCTCAGGAGTTTGAGACCAGCCTGGCCAACGTGGTGAAACCCATCTCTACAAAATATACAAAAATTAGCCGGGCGTGATGATGCCTGCCTGTGGTTCCAGCTACTCAGGAGGCTGAGGCGGGACGATCGCTTGAACCCGCGAGGCAGAGGCTGCAGTGAGCTGAGATTGTGCCACTGTACTCCAGCCTGGGTGACAGAGTGAAACCCTGTCCAAAAAAAAAAAAAGGTATGAGCAGGGCTGCTCAGAATCTAAGCTCCAAGGAAGTAAGAAATTTGTCTTCTCTCCAGCACCCAGAAGAATGGGCTTTAGTAGGCAGTCAATGACTGTTGTTGAAGGAAGGTAAAGGATGAATGTTTGGTCTCCTGTTAACTACTACTGAATGAATGAACGAATGATGATCAGTATGACGGATGTTTGCTGAGCACCTCTGAGTGTTGGCACTGTCCCAGCTGCTTTATGCACCACATGATCCCTTGAGGGAAGCGCTTAGAGCACCCTCATTTCACAGAGGAGGAAACTGAGGCTCAAGGAGATTAAGCGACTTTCCCAAGATCACTGGGTTAGTCACGGGTGAGGCCAAGGTTGAAACCCAGGGCGTCTGGCCTTTGCACCATCTTGCTGGCCTGAGAGCTGTTTCACAAAGTCTGGCTGCCTCAGAAGCACAAAATGCCCCTGAGGCTGAAGTTCTAGACTACAGGTGAAGTGGCCCAGAATTGAAAGTTAGGACTGGGCACGGTGGCTCATGCCTATAATCCTGGCACTTTGAGAGGCCAAGGCAGGCAGATCGCTTGAACTCAGGAGTTTGAGACCAGCCTGGGCAACATGGGGAAATCCTGTCTTTACAAAAAATACAAAAAATTAGCTGGGTGTGGTGATGCACACCTGTAGTCCCAGCTACTTGGGGGACTGAGGTGGGAGGATCACTTGAGCCCAGGAGATGGAGGCTGCAGTTAGCTACCAAGATCGTGCGACTGCACACTAGCCTGGGTGACAAAGTTAGACCCTGTCTCAAATTTTAAAAAAGAAAGAAAGAGAAGGAAAGAAGGAAAGAAAAAGAAAAGGAAGGAAGGAAGAAAGAAAACAAAGGAAAGGAAAGGAAAGAAAGATGGTATCAGTGTTGTGTAGTCATAGGGGGTTGGATTTTAGAGCCAATCAGAGGTGAGTTCAAATCTTAGCGCTGCCACTTACTGTGAGCTTCAGAAAGTGATAAAACCTCTCTGAGCCTCAGTTTCCCATCTGTAAAATGGGGGTGGAAGTGGTATTCACTTCCCCATGCTGCCACAGGGATGAAATCAGTCCACGGTGTGAAATGCCAACCTCATGAATGGCACTTAGGAAACATTGGTTCTTTGATCCTTTTGGGGAAGAATCCCCCAGGGAAATCCAGAACTTTAAAATCTGGTGCCCCTTAGAAGAGCTCAGGCGCTGGCTTGGTCCTTCCTGTCTACACTGCCTCTTCCCTTCTCCAGTGTAATTTTTTTTGAGATGGAGGTTTTCTCTTGTTGCCCAGGCTGGAGTGCAGTAGCACAGTCTTGGCTCACTGCAACCTGTGCCTGAGGGTTCAAGCGATTTTCTTGCCTCAGCCTCCCAAGTAGCTGGGATTACAGGTGCACGCCACCACACCCGGCTAATGTTTTTTGTGTTTTTTAGTAGAGATGGAGTTTCATCATGTTGGCCAGGCTGGTCTTGAACTCCTGACCTCAGGTGATCCACCCACCTCGGCCTCCCAGACTGCTGGGCTTACAGGCGTGAGCCGCTGCACCCAGACTCCATTGTAATTTGCAATCCCTGGCACAGACCTTTACCCCACTATCAGGTTTACTCCAAGGGATGTTGCTATGAGAAGGTAGAAAAATGGAAAACTGTTTACAGCAAATGTCCGTCCATTGTTTCTGTTTCTGATGGAGGAGTTCTGTGGGTTATAGCCCTGGGTCTGTTCCCCCACCCTGCCATTGTGACATTTCATGTGCGTGGATGCCATCAGGGTCAATTTGCAGGACACTGGCCCCACACCCAACGGGCACTGCCTGACCCAGAAGCAGCCGGTCCCTCTCAGAGTGACATTCCCTGAGGGCAAATAAGGAACACAAAGCACGTGTGGCCATCGTCCTTTTACGTAAATGTAAGGTCACCGTCTTGGGAGAACAAAGACTGCGTCGTCCTCAGCCTCCCTGCTCTCTGAATTATTATCTAAACAGGAACACAGACACTCTCCGGGCAGCACCTCAGCCTGTCTCTGGGCACACACACAAAGGCGCTTTCACTCAGGAGAAAGCATAAAGATACTGTGGCTGGGCCCGGGCATAAATCTCTCTTGTCCCAGGAGGAGACGTGGCTGCCTGATCCTTGGCTGAAACTTTGGACTGCGCAGGTCTGCAGGCCCACCTCTCCCCTCTAATTTGATTTCCCTAGTCACTGTTAAGCTGGGCCTGGGCTCATGCCCTTCGCCATTTTCAAAGCATTGGATTTTGAAAAGATCTTGGCCGTCTGCACAACCGAAATCCTGGCTCCTACACAATTTCTCCCCTCTCTGGAAATCTCTAAGAGGGAACAGGTTTATGGGCATCCAGGGGCCTTTCTTTATTAATTGGAATCAGGGCACCCTTAAGAAATGGGGTAGGGAGGTCACTTGTTTTATCTTAATCTCTGTACTGCGGAGTCCACACATAAATATTTCTGTGAACAGGCAGGCGCTGAAATCACATGCTTTCATGCTGTAGAATGAAAAAATGCCTATGATTGGCATTATCGTCTTCTCCATGGGAAAATAAGCTGTTTAGAGGCCCAAGTATTTTGTGGGGTTTTTTTAAGGTCAAACTTTTGTAGGTTGGACAAGACACATTTTATTCAACCCATATTTACTGGGATCCTACTGTGTGTGAGGCATGGGCTGGTTCTCCATTTAAGTCCTTTCTATCTGGCAAGTTCTCTGATCCCGGTGTCTTGCCCTGGGACATATCTTTAAGCGAAGAGAACTTAGGTGAGCTGGCAACTGTTATGAGCCAAATAGAGCAAGCACCATCTTACGTATGTGTTTAGTTTCTCTCTCTGTTGATTACAAGGTAAGCTCCAAACGTCAGGATGATGGGCAGCCCTGGGGAGCTCGGTGCCGGGAGGAGTGATCTTTTACATCAGGAAACAATCTAGTTCTCTGAAGCTTTCCAGTAACCCTCTCAACCAAATGCTAGGTTCTTTTTTTGCTTCTCAGACCATCTGGCTCCCGGTTGGAGGGAGGGTATCTTGGGGTCTCCTGTAACTCCCTGGAAAGGGGATGAAGGTATGGGCAAGCAGCACTTTTTGCTCTGGCCTCCTGGGGCGGGGTGACTTACATATCAGCTCACCTGTGAGTTTCCCATCCAGTGAGACTGGCCCAGACACTGAGCACTGCAGGGAAACTGAGGCCTGGGGACCTTTGCATCCTTGGTGTCCTTACTGTGGAGCTCCGAGGAAAATAAATGGCCCGTGCCTCAGTTTCCTCATCTGAAAACGGAGTGGGGATGCCCAGGAGAATGTTAGCTCAAGAAGTCAGGGATTTCATGTTTTTGACCTGGTCTAGGGCTTAGCACAGAGTGCTGCTCAGTAAACACATGTTGAGTTCACTGGGTGAGTAAACCTTGGTGGTGACATTACCCATTTCACAGAGGGGGAGACAGGCTCAGAGAGGAGGTGGAGTGATTCGCCTGTAGTCACAGAGTGGGGAGAGCCTGGAGAGGTGACGCTGGGTCTGTGTGGCCCACTGAGTCCATGCGTGACTGAGGGCCACTGAATGACTTTCACGGTGAGTCGTAGGCACTTTTGCCTTTGTAGGACTCCAAAAAAAAAAAAAAAAAAAAAAGATGAAAAATTGTCTTTTATCACTGATGGTCTAATAATGAATATAATCCACGTTGGATAATATTCATGTTTTTTCTTCTTATTTTAAGACCTGAAGACATTTTCGTGGGCCCCTAAAAGACACCTCTGCCCGGGCACCCTGCGGGATGGAGCCATGGGCCCCATCAGAGGCCACTCACCTGGTCCTCCTCCGCCCTGAGGTCCGGCATGGTGCTGACGCACAGGCTGACGGCGGTGGTGGCCACGAAGAGGATGGAGAGGCAAGCGAAGACCTTCCCAGGCAGCCCGGACTGCGGGTTTTCCACCATCTCGCGCAGTCGGTTCATGCAGAGGCCCCAGCGCGAGGAGTGCGAGGCAGGGCGGCGTGTCTCCCTCTGCTGCCGCAGAACCTCCTCCCTGTGCAGCTTGGCCAGCTCCTCCAGCTCCTCCAGCTTCCTCAGCAGCTTCCGCAGGCAGCACCTCTCCAGGTGGGCCTCCTCGATGCCCCAGTAGGCCAGCTCCTCCTGGAAGGACAGCGCGCACATCTCCTGCAGCAGCACCAGCTTCCCGGCCGCCAGGAAGCTCACGATCACCCCGAAGGCGCTGGGGCTCCTGTCAAAGAAGAACTCCCGGTTGTCCTCGTCGTAATCATCGCAGAGCTGCGCGATCTCCTCGTAGCTCCGACAGAGCCTGAGTTTGCTCAGGCGGCTCAGCGGGAACTGGTCTAGCGTGCTCCAGGGGAGGCGATACCTCCTGCCCCCCACGTTGATCAGGATCTCCTTCTTCAGGTCCACCGGGGAGGCGTCCAGGGCGCCCACCTTCCGCACCCTGCGGTAGTAAAGGCCCTTGATGGACGGCATCTTCACCGGGCTGGACAGGAGCTGACTCCAAGGGCTGTGGGAACCATAGTGGTGGTGTCTGGGATGCAGGCCCCGGTCTCCGGAAGGCATGGGCATTGTCGAAGATCGCAAGGCAAGGAAGTGCTGGGTTTACCAGTCTGATACCCAAGGGACAAAGAGCAAGAAAAAGGAAGGGAAATCAGTCTTGGGGCAAAGAGTCCTGGATGTCGCGACTACAGATGTTCTTACATGTGCTTTCCTGCAACCGCATCTGCATGGCTTGTTCTTTTAACCTTTAGCTCAACACATATTTATTGGGCACCTACTGTGTGCTTGGGATACATCAGTGAACAAAGCCCTTCCCTGGTGGAACATCTACTGGTATCGAAGAAGAATGTCTCCAGAACAGACGTTGCATGGATGGGGACTGAATTGCATGGATGAGTAACTCAGTCCTGAGCTGGACAAATCAGAGCGGTGCCACTTCTGGGCTCTGTGGTCTCAGGTATGTGGCTATACCTCTCTGATCTCAGCATCATTCATTCAAATGACAAGACTTGTACTAATCTTGCAAGGTACAGTTGGTAAAAATAGAGCTTAAGAATGTAGGCTCTCAAGTTCACTGGCAGGGCCGAATCCCTTACGGACTGCCAGCACAGGTGGGTTACTCAGTGTCTCTGAGTCCTTTGCTTTATCTGTGTGATGGGGGCAGTTTGAGTACCCACACTGTAGGGCATGGCAAGGGTTATATGCAGTAACATACAAGAAAGTGTGTATTAATAACACTTCTAGATGCTTCTGACATGCCTGGCTTCCCCTAACTCACCTCAACAACCTCATGAAGTAGACATAAGATCTCCACTTTATAGATAAGGAGGTTGACGCACGGAAGTCTTGCGTGTCTTGCCTACGGTTTAGCAAGCATCTGACATCAGGAAGCTCAGCGAGGGTCTGTTATTAAAAGTTGGAACAGACCAGGAATGTGACTGTCCTTAGCACAGCATCTAAGCCTCTAGGTCTCAGGAGGAACTCCACCAGTCTCACTTAATCACTCTTGGTTGCTTCCTCATTTGGGGAGGCCTTTGCTAAGGGGACAGAGGAGCATGGCATACTTGTAATCACAGTACTCCTCCATGTTCATTGTGCGCTTGCCTTAGCCATCCTTGCTGTGTGACCTCCAGCCAGTTACTCCCCCTCTCTAGGGCCATGGTCTTTTATCTGCAGAATGAAGGAGGCCTCCGGGCACAGTGGTTCATGCCTGTAATCCCAGCACTTTGGGAGGCCGAGGCAGGTGGGTCATCTGAGGTCAGGAGTTTGAGACCAGCCTGGCCAATGAAACCCCGTCTCTACTAAAAACACAAAAATTAGCCAAGCATGGTGGCATGTGCCTATAGTCCCAGCTACTTGGGAGGCTGAGGCAAGAGAACGGCTTGAACCTGGAAGGCGGAGGCTGCAGTAAGCCGAGATTGCGCCATTGCACTCCAGCCTGGGCAACAGAGTGATACTCTGTCTCAAAAAGAAAAAAAAAAAAAAAAGAAGGGGCCTCTAATGCTCTCTCCATTTCAGACCTATATGAGATGCTTGACTTAATGTGAGTGTTTTAGATTTAGCCAATTCACATATTTAAAAAGTCCTTTCCATAATATTTCTAACCTTCAGATCCTGCAACCATTTCTTATGCCATTCATTCTAGCCAGAGCCATTTCCAAAGCATCTATAAGCTTACATTTTCAGATGCACTCCACTCCAATCAAGAGAGAAACTCGGCAGCTGAATGGAAATCAAAGTTCCTCTCAATTTCAGAGCCAGTTGGATTCTGGTGGATAGTGGAGAGTGAATTGCAGCCTATTTCACACTCTTGCTCCCCGCACAACATTCTGTTGTTCTGAGTGCATTACTTTGCTCACAGGGGACCGCCAGAGGAGGATGAGGAGCCTGCAGAGAGAAGAGTATTTTGAAATCCGGGGAGCCCTTTGCCAGCTTCCTCATTTTCCCAGTGCAAAAACCAAGACCCAGCGAGGGGAAGTAACTTGTCCAAGGTCACACAGCAAATCCAAATCCAACCCAGCACTCTGTCCCCCAGCCTGGGGCTCCTTCCAGAACCTGCAAACTGCCCTTTCTGCATTCACTGAATAAACCCAATTTTTCAATCTACGGCTTTCCAAACAGCTGGCAAGTAGCTCCTTCCGGAGCATGGGAAAGGAATTCACTGAAAATAGCACTTTTGCCAAGGATGTTTAACAGCATCAACCTCCCCCCGGCCCCCGCCCGCTCTGCAGCAAGCATTAACTCTTCCCGTCAAGTTTCACTCACCCTCTTGTCTCAGGGAGCCAGTTTCCAGCTGTTTCTCTGCCAAGCAAGGGGAGCCCATGTCTTGGTGCCCAGGGAAGGGACAGGTTTGTAGTGGAGATGAAGGGGAAGAAAAATAATTCCCAAAACAGCAGTTTCTGGCAGAGTTAGTTTCCAATCTTTCTTCCCGTGCCGCCTCCAGAAACCAGAAGTTCATTCATTCTGCATCTCTCTCCAGCAGCTGCAGGAGAGCCCTGGGGGATTGAGGTGGGATTGTTTTAAAGGACCCAGAAGTCCTTTTCCTTATGAGAGATGAGAGTCTGGGGGTTCTTGCTGGGAGGGAGCCAGGGCAGCTGTTCTGGTTGAGCAGCGGACTCTGCACTTCAAGTCCCACAGGGACAGCCAGTGTGGTCCTGCAAGAGAAGCCAGTGTGTGTGTGTGTTGGTGGGGGGGGGTGGAATGGGAAGGGCTTAGAAATAATCTCTCCATCAGCCAGCAGCAGGAAGGAGCAGCAGCCGCTGCCACTCTGCCAACCGCCTAGGAGGCAAGGGGAGCTGTCCTCCCTCCCCTGGCATGGAGGAGCACAACTCAGGAGGGGCAGAGGGCAACTTGGGGCTGGAGGCATCTGCAGCTACCTGTCTCCATCCACCCCAGAGGCTCTTGGGGTATGCTGATGATGGTGACAGGCTCAAGCTCAAGCTGCAGAAGGAACTTTTTGCTGCTTTTAACCAGCCCAGGCCTGGGACAGGTTCAGACAGAAGCCCAGGCTCTGAGCCCTGGGTGGGAGTCAAGGGGGCCGTGTTAGAGAACAGGGATAGGAAGAGGTGTGAGCTTGGAATTCACGCACACGCCTGGATCCTGGCTCCTATGTGAAAGGCTGGGTGACCTTGGGCAGGTGAGTTACTGCTTCTGAGCCTCAAATGTCTTGTCTTTAAAACACAGGAATGAGAGAGGGTTCAGGGAAGATCAGAACTGTAAGTGCAAGCTCCTGTGCTGGTTGACTGGTTGGCTGGGTGAAAAGGAAGAGGCATCGGTCCAGGGCCTGGGTGTGGACTTGGACTCTGCACTGCCTGGCTGTGTGTCCTCGGTCAGTCACTTCACCTCTCTGGGCCTTGGGTTTCTCAGTCAAATGAGGACAGTGAAACCAGTGATGGCTGCAATTGCAAAACCAGCATCTTGTAGGTGCTCACTATACGTTGACTGTTCTGCATTTTCTTGAGAGGTTCTGAAGCCCAGGCTCTTGGCTTCTGAATGTAAGTTATCTTCACTGCGTTTGATAGTTGAGGCCCTGAAGGTCTGAGAAGAGGTTTGCTCAAGGTCATCTTGCTGGTTAGAACCATCACTTAGGCCGGGTGTGGTGGCTAACAGCTGTAATTCCAGCACTTTGGAGGCAGAGGCGGGCAGATCACAATGTCAGGAGTTCGAGACCAGCCTGGCCAACTAGTGAAACCCTGTCTGTACTAAAAATACAAAAATTAGTTGGGCATGGTGGTGGGTGCCTGTAATCCCAGCTACTAGGGAGGGTGAGGCAGGAGAACTGCTTGAACCCAGGAGGCAGAGCTTGCAGTGAGCGGAGGTCGCACCACTGCACTCCAGCCTGGGTGACAAAGTGAGACTCTGTCTCAAAAAAACAAAAATAAAAACGATCACTTAACAGACCCTTGAGTTTTGATGTGAGGATCCAGGAGTGAGAGAGATTAGAGGGTGAGCCTTCCACAGCTGCCTGCAAGGGGATGACAGGTGCTGCTGGCCTAGGTGGGCTCTCTGTGGACTTGGCAATGGGAACAAATCCAGGCAGAGCAGAGAACTGACTGAATGGAGGTCTGTCTGGTGCTGTGGTTTTCAAATGGTATTGCTTGAATCCTAAGGACTCTGCAGAAATGATTGAGGGGCCTGGCCTGGGGCAGTGACGACGGGGAAGACAAAAGGATGAACCCCTGGCCTGCTACCTCAACCATGGCAGCTGCACTGATCTGTTTCCATAAAACTGTAAATGTAACCCCAATAAAGGCTGTGACCCAGCGTGGTCCAGCGTCCACACAGAGCCACTCAGAGAGATCCCAGGGCACCTGCCAGTAGCGGAGAAGCTTCCCTCCTTCTTCGGACTCCCCTGTTCCTCAGACCCCACAGCTGCTCCAATGGTGCTCTTAGAAGACACTTCAGAATTGTCTTTCCAGCTCATGGTCCTCCTCCTACCCCAGCTGTCTCCCCACCTCTCTCAGCTGTGTCTTATTTGTCTGGATTTAGCCTGTCTGGTTAAATCTCCCCTAACTTACCCCCTTCCTCTCAGTTCTCTCTGGATCCTGAGTATACGGGTTCAAATCAAGAATTTATCAATTCCCTGCTGGTGACCTTGAGCAAATTTCTTAACCTCTCTATGCCTTAATTTTTTTTTTGTCTGTGACCTGAAGATGATGGCACCTATCAATTTGCTGTGAGTTTTGAACAAATCAATTTACATTGACAAGGCTCTTAGAAGACGGCCTGTCACAAAAGTGAGTCCTATTCAAATGCTTGCTATTATTGTGATTATCATCTTTTTTGTTTGTTTGTTTGTTTGTTTTGAGATGGAGTCTCACTGTATTGCCCAGGCTGGAGTGCAGTGGCGAGATCTTCGTTCACTGGAGCCGCCGTCTCTGGGTTCGAGCAATTCTTGATCCTCAGCCTCCTGAGTAGCTGGGATTACAGGCACCCGCCACCATACCCAGCTACTTTTTGTGTTTGTAGTAGAAACAGGGTTTCCCCCATGTTGGCCAGGCTGGTCTTGATTTCCTGGCCTCAAGTGATCCACCCGCCTCTGCCTCCCAAAATGCTGGGATTACAGGTGTGAGCCACCGCGCCCGGCCATGATTATCATCTTAGCAATTTCTTTCCAAAATTACGCAAGAAAGATTTAGTGTAAATACAGCAGTCTGCTGTTCAAAAACTTTTCTAAAAGAAAGCTTGATTTACTGACCTAGTGCATGTCCCTCATTTTGAACCCTCCAAGTCAGTGGATGGCACTGCCAGGCTCAGTGTGGACTTGCAGTCCATTGCTCTTTCCACACTTTGGCGCCTTCTGTCAATATGGTCACTTTTCCCAGGTTGTGGGACCTTTCCCTCAGCCTGGTGTTCAGCCCCGTCAGCCCCTTCCCCAGGGCATCCACTCAGCCTTTCTTCAGGTCTTTGTGAAGTCCCAGTCACCTTTTGGCTTAGTGCTACTGTCTTCTTGTCCCTAGTGTCCCTCCCCAGTATGGACACTTGACCTCAGCTAATCAGGGCCAGTAACACATCTCCCATCCTCTTGGCATCCTGGAAGTCTGGAACTCGAGGCATACATAGAAATGCCCAACCCAGATGTCTTCTGCCACATTTTTCTGATCAAGGGATGAGTCACAGTGACCACACGTGAATTTCTTATGGCTGCGGTAACAACCCCGATGTAGAAGCTTTAAATAATGCAAATTTGGCTGGGTGCAGGGGTTTCTGCCTGTAATCCCAGCACTTAGGGAGGCCGAGGTAGGTAGATCACGAGGTCAGGAGATCGAGACCATCCTGGCCAACATGGTGAAACCCCATCTCTACCAAAAATACAAAAATTAGCTGAGTGTGGCGGTGCGTGCCTGTAATCCCAGCTACTTGGGAGGCTGAGGCAGGAGAATCACATGAATCTAGGAGGTGGATGCTGCAGTGAGCTGAGATCATGCCACTGCATTCCAGCCTGGTGACAGAGTTAGACTCTCTCTCAAAAAAAAAAAAAAAAAATTACAGTTCTGGAGACCAGAAGTCTAAAAGGGGTCTTACAGTGATTAAGTCAAGGTGTTGGTAGGACTGAGATTTTTCTGGAGGTTCTAGAGGAGAATGTGTTGCCATACCCTCTCCAGCTCCTAGAGGCCTCTTGCATCCCTTGGCTTGTGGCCCCTTCTCCATCTTCAAAGCCTGCAGTTACATCACTATGACCTCTGCTTCTGTGCTGTCATCTCCATTTCTGACTCTCCTCCTCCTCTTTCCCTTGTAAGGACACTTGTGATTACATTGAGCCCCGTGGATAATTTGGGATTGTCTTCCAGCCTTAAGATTTTAAATCACAACTACAAAGTCCCTTTTGCCATGCAAAGGAACTTATTTCCATATTTACAGGTTGCATGGGCCTCTTTGCAGGATTGGAGGTAGGTGGCATTAGTCTGCCTATCACAGATGGTATTTATATCCTGTACACCTCCTCCTGGCCCCAGCCAGTCAGATAGGACCAATATTTTTTTGTCCAATCAGACAAAGGAAGGACACCTACCCTAAGAGTGCTTCACCCATAGGCTGAGATGAACCAATCAAATTTGCTCTCTCTCTTTCCTGAGAATTTGGACCCAAAGACATGGAGACTTTGGCATGGGTAGTGGGTGCTGGCCCTGTAAGATCATCTAGCAGTGGGGCTGGTGGCTGCACTGGGCTATGGGTGAGGAGGAGTAGCAGAGGAAGCCACAGGAAGAAGAGTTCCTATTGACCCAGAGTTAGTTTCTGTAAAGCCCATAGAACTCGGCCCTGCTCTACCTAATACATCAACCGTCATCATCATCATCATCATCAAAATTAGACTGAGCACATCTCTCTGTATTGTTTTGGTAGAAGGAGGACCCCAAGTCCCCAAACTGGTGGATGTGATCACATCTAGCTTTTACCTTCTTAGATGTCACCAAGGCCTGGCTCTTTCTAGAAGTGTCCTTCAGAAGAGGGAGTTGTCTTTGTCCCACAAAATGGAGCAAGAAAAGGGGCAGCCCTGTGAGAGGCAGAATATTGACCTCCAAAAGATGTCTATGTCCCAGTTCCTGAAGTTGCACGTGTGTTACTTGATATGGCGAAGGGGAATTAAGGTTGCAGTTGGAATTAAGGGTGCTCATCAGCTGATCTGAAGTAGTGAGAGTATCCTGAATTCACCAGGTGGGCCCAATGTTTTCATGGGTCCTTAAATGTGGAAGAGGGAGGCAGAAAAGAGAAGAGGGTGAGAGAGTGATGTGAGGAAGCACTCAATCAGATACTGCTGGCTTTGAAGATGGAGGAAGGGGCCGTGAGCCAGGGAATGCAGGTGACCTCTAAAAGCTGGAAAAGACAATGAATAAATTCTCCCGTGGAGCCTCCAGGAAAGAACATGGCCCTGCAGATACCTGGATTTTAGCGCCATAAGACTCACTTTAGACTTCTGGCCTCCAGAACTGTAAGATATTAAATTTGCATTATTTTAAGCCACTAAGTGTATGGCTTTTGTTATAGCAGCCATAGCTAATTAATACTGCCCTGCCTGAAGGAGGG